ACAAAAAACAGCGCGATTTGTGGATTATAGGGGCGGTTAGCATTTTTCTGGAGACGATATTACAGGAAACGGTAAATCCATATCCATAGTTAGAGTCCGCATTTGAAACAAAGGGAAAAAGCACGGTCTGAAAAACGGGGTAGTCTTTTGTGACAGCCCCCCCTCCCACAATCCTTCCTGTATAGCAGCATCCTGTTCGACCCTGACGTGGTCTGCGCACTCAAGGCACACTGAGCACCGGCTGAGTCTGCTGAGAAGCAAAACAAACCGACCACAGGAAGTGTATATTACTACACTACTCGGGCCAAACAACTGGCTCACGAAGAGAAAAGAGAAGCAGGGTTCTGCTGCAGTTCACTGAAAAAACCGAGTCCCAGGCTCGGTTGTTCAGGGAAAATTAGGGCGCATGAGACAGGACAATAATACCAAAAATGTCAATTCTTCAGTGTACATACAATCAGTTCAGCCCCTGACGGACACTCACAGAGGTCTGTTTAAATCAGACAGAAAAGGTCAGTTGGCCGAAAACGACCAAAATGCAATCTTTTTGATTCCCTTGTGTAGGGCTGGCTAGCCAGGAAAAATATTGGGTTGTTTAAGCAGGATAGAGGTAGCCCATACCGGGGAAATAGCGCCCTCTTACTGGAAGACACGGCGCTCTCCGAAGACAAATTCAATACTAATTAGGATTAAAAAACCGACAAATCACACTTGAAGGTATAAACTCACCGAACAACAGTCTTTTAAATTACGCCGGGAAAATTTTGTATTAGTCAAGAGCAACTACTCAAGCTTGCCGATCGGTGCTTTAACAGTTGAGTCATAACGCCTGAACTCCCTGGGCGCCGCAGCCCTGGACGCATACACGGAAACTCGGGACAAACATAAAAACAGTGAAAAAGGGGTTGGAATCCGAAATTATATTCCTAAGGGTACAGAAATAACCATAAACGCTGATCAGAAACGACAAAATTCAAGCGTTTTCGGAAGGCAGAGGCCCGTACTGCAGACAAAAAAGTCAAAAACCAAAAACATGAACCGACCTTGACGAAAATTGTTCAGCATTGTTTCTAGACTGGTGGTGTCTGGGACCACCAAGATAGAACGGTTGTAGAACTTGTAGACAGTTGCTACTGGTATCCTGTCGTCAACGTTAATGACGCCCAAATCGTTGACATTAAGAATGGCTTTGATGTTACGTCGATCGCGGTCATAAATAGGTACTCGCGTAAAGCCGTGGGAGACTATCTCGTTCATAGTGTCAAAGTCGAGAATGGCAGTGTTGGACAAAATAAAGTCATCTGCAGTGGGAGACATTATACCACTGACCGTCTTTGTTGACATGTTCAGGGCGCCAGCGATAATTTTCATTTCATCACGAGCTACCAGGCCTACATCTTGCTGTTCCCT